CTTTCTGTGGTTGATTTTGTGTTTTTTGGAGGAAATTAGGGTGGGGAGTGAGAATGTGTTGAGTGTGTTGGAATTGTTTAGGGTCCTGACATCGTTCCTCCTCCCCTTGTATGCAGAAATTGAGATGTCTTCAGAAGAGGCCAGGAGTGTGGTGGGGAGTGAAGTGATGCCTTTGGAGTATGGTAGTATGGATATGGAGAGCAGTTCGTCTTCAACGAGTTCGGAGAGGACGGTGGAGGAGAGGAGGGAAGAAGTAGTAGTAGAGGAGGAGGAAGAGGAGATCCCCTCAAACGTGTTAGAATCTGGGGGTGGCGTAGATGGGTGCTATGACCCGGACTTAGAGATAGTTTCTGAGGTGAGGGGGTATGTGAGCGAATTAGGTAGTAGGAGTAGCCTTAGGGGGTTAGTGGGAAACTGTAACCTTCCCCACCATGTCCTAATCCGGCCGGTCGGGGTGAATGAGAAGGCATGCTCAGCACCCCGAGACCATTGGATGCCCATATACCTGTATTATTTGATTGCAGGGCTTAGGTTTCCCATTCCAGAATTACTGGTTGGGCTTTTATTAGATTATAGTATAGGAATAACCCAGCTAACTCCCAATGCCATGAGGGTAGTAATAGGTTTTCTTGTATATTGCAGAGTTCGGGGGGTTGGGGTCCCGATAGTAAATATGTTTAAACATTTTTTTATAATTAAGGCTGGGGGTAGGGGGGAGAAGGGATGGTACTACTTCGGCCCTCGGTCGTCCAGCAAAGGGAATAGGACTTTATTCTCTACTGGACCGTCATCCATCAAAGGGTGGAAAGAAAAATTCTTCTTTGTGGACGACACCGAGTGGAGTAGGAGGGATGCCGAAGTGGAACAGTTGTCTGCTTGGAAAGCTAAGAAAACCAAGCAGAACAACTATAAGTTAAATGAGGATGAGGTGGGGGAGGTGGAGAAGCTGGTGAGGGAGGACGGAGACGTGGTGGACATCCTATACCTCACCAGTCCGTAGGCAATAGAGGCTGTTGAGCTCTATGGGCCAAGCTCATTGAGCGAAGGTCTGTGTATGTTTACATTGTGCTATGTTAGTTAGATCTTAGTTTATGCGTTTTGACTTTTGTGCTTGTTTTGCAGCTGAGATGGAGGAGCTTACCAATGCTGCTGGGGGGCTGCGCATCCCAAAGAAGCCAAGGAAGAAGTCAATGACTTCAGCTGCGGCGAACAGAGGGGTGCCCGAGAGAGAGCGCCTGCCCAGCACTTCTGCCCGGGCCATGGAGGTGCAGCCAAGGCCGGAGCCTGTGATGGGGGGCAGCGAGGATGTAAGCGAGGAGACGGCACCGCTCCAGAGGAAGAAGAGGAGGGTGGCAGAGTTAGAAAGCAGGGAGGATGAGGTGGTGGAGTTCGTGCCTCAACCTTCTCCTCCAGAAATCGATCCTGAGGTCTGGGAGAGGGAAGAGGCCGAGGTGCAAGGCCTTAGTGGGGGCAGGGAGCGCACCCCACCCCACGCGTACCAGAAAAGTTTGTTTGAGGCGACAAACATGACTGGGGCGAAGCACTTTCTCAACGCTACACTTCCTGTCGTGGATAGGATGCAAGCGAAGAACGAGGTGCTTAGCCATGCGGGGTATACCGTTGTGAGGCATGCCTTAGAGGTATGCGAAATAACTAGATTTTACTCCGGTTGCATGTTTGAGTTTTTTGTCCCCTATGTCTGATGTCTGACCTCTGATTACATTGTAGAGTGCGAGCTGGACAAACGCTCTAGCGCAGGAGTATACAGAGAGCGTTAGAGATCGTGCCAGCTTGCAGAGGCAGTG